TCATGAGATTTGAAGTTTCTTCTCCATTTCCTAGACCCCAAATTCATCTTTGCTTCTTACAGAATACAATTTCTCTTTTTTTAAGATCCCCGGTTCCCTTTCCCTCTCACAAATCCCAAAGGACTGAAACAACAATTTCCACTTTCGGTTTCTCAAATGTCACTAATTCTAAATGCCTCCCATCTTAGTTCAATGAACCTTCTATTCCAACTTTAATTTTCCACAGCATACCCTAAAGATAAATGCTCTGTCCTGGCTCTTCTCTGCTCATGGCTCAGAAATATCAAGAAGAGGGACTGAGGACCTAGGGCAATTCAGATCCAAATAATATGAGAATCTCTATAAACGGAGACTGAGTGCACCCCCAAAAATCTCTTTTTATCTCTAACTTGATTTTTCTGATCTTTCTCTCTTGTTTTCTCCTCTTTTCACATTTTGGTAATTTCCTCATTTTATATCTTTTCAAAACTTTCAAGATTCTACATCGCCCTCCCTATATCTTTTTCTTCAGAAGTTATACCTTATGAAAAACAACTCAAGCAGAAATAAAATTGAATTTTCAGTGATCCAGATATGTTTGATGAATATATCAGGCAGTCAATCAATATATATTTTGTAGTATATATTGAAGTTTATTATGGATAAATACTAAATGTATGTTAAATACAAAGTGTGTTAAATATGAAGGATAATATTGGTAAATAATATGAGCTCAGCTTCCGTCTTTACAGAGTTCATGGACTAGTGATGAAATCAGACAGGTAAGTCAGGTGCTACCCTGCAAGATGCAGAGTCGAAGGAGAAAGAATTACAAGGTGTTATGGGAGCACCAAACAATACCTTAAGGAAAGGACGTCTACTCTGAGACTTTGACAGATCTTAGGATATCACTGAATCATTCTATTTTTGGAAAGACAATAAAACATATTCCAGGGGGAAAAAAATGCTTTCATGTCCTCCTTCAGTTTTGTATTCCAATAGGTGATGTGGTGCTTAACATGACTCAGTGGTTTAAAAATGTTTCTAAATGGGTAATTACATGAATGATTTCCTGTGAATCTTAGCAATCATCGTTGATCTAACTAGATTTAAGTACTCACTGACCAAAGAATTTATACTGAGTGATTTAAAATGGAAATTAGATATATTCTGATAATATGTCCTTATTTAAATTATCAGAGCTTAGTTTTCCTTGTTTGAAAATACACACAGTAATAATAGTATGTAACTCAGGGAGTTGCTTTGAGGAGTAGCATAAGCTATGTTATCAGCTTGACTTGAAATAGGCAGTTGTAGTTGCATTAAGCATTGTCATTATGATCATTACCATATTTATTGTGTTTATCCTTATTATTTTAAGATATCCATTTTCTTTCTTTTTGAACTTTGCTCATCTTTTATCCTGGACAGGAATATCCTTTTCTCAATCTAGGAGAAAAGAAAATGTACAGTGTAATATTTTGACAGAAATACTGAGCTTAAAATTAGTGCACTATTCTGTATTGGATGGATACAAACCAGCAACTGTATCCAGGGAAATACCACTCTGACTTATTGGGCTTTTATTTTTAGTATTTTTCTGTTATCTGTGCCAGTCAACTGTATTTTAAGTATGTAAGAGAAGTAGACTTTATTATAGAAATATGAGCAAAATTAAATTTAAAAGTCTAACTCAAATCCTATTTAAGACATAAAAGCACCCTCAGAGAGAATTTTGTTTGATTATTCTCTTTTCTGAGCTTGATCTACTCTCTCCATTAACAATTATGGTACTTTGGTAGTTCTAAAATGAGAGGTTAAGTTTTTTCTCTTCCATTTTTTCTGTTAGCAGCACTAGCCTAGCTATGGAGAGTAGAGAGGTCTGATTATTTGAAATTATTTTGTTATTATTGATCATTTTTAAACATGTATTACATGATAACCACACTGTTAATGATTTTATCTGTATTATCTCATTTAATTATCTCATTTATTGCATTCTGAATGAAGTAAGCATTGGGATTATTCATATTTTGCATAAAAAGTCAGAGGCATAGAGAGATTAAGAAATTTGTCCAATATCAAGAAGATAGTTCGTGACCTTGCTGGCCTCAAAATTAGCAGTTTAATGCCAGAATCCATATTCTTAATAAAAACTCAATGTGCTTCATAGAACATTCAATAGGAAATATTATTTTGACTTTAATATTCTGAATAATATCAATAAAACTAAGAAATAAGAACTTTATGTGCATCTTATATCTGATTTACAGTTATAAAAATTAAAAACTGCTTATAGTTACAGTCTGTATATTTCAAGTCCATAAGATTTATCTCATAAATGAATTTGAATGGGAGGAAGTGTTTTCTTCAATACTTTCAATTTATTATTTGTTTTTTGAAGATTGGCACCTGAGCTAACATCTGTTGCCAATCTTCTTTCTTTTCTTCTTCTTCTTCTCCTCAAAGTCCCCCAGTTCATAGTTCTATATTCTAGTTGTAGGTCCTTCTGGTTGTGCTATGTCGGATGCCGCCTCAGCATGGCTTGGTGAGTGGTGCCATGTCCACACCCAGGACCCTAACCTGCGAAAGCCTGGGCCACAGAAGTGGAACATGTGAAGTTAACCACTCAGCTACAGGGCCGGCCCTGATACTTTCATTTCTTGTGTTTAAAATAAATACAATACAATAAAAATAAGCAGGGTAAAATAATTACTGCTTACCTTTTTTTTTTTATTATGGAGAAATCATTGTGTGTTGCTCTTTTATAAAGAATATGGCCTTATATAAATTTCTGGTTTGAATCATTCAAGTAACAAATACAGCCATTCTCAGTTTTCATTGAAGCTAATGCTTCACTTAAATCCATCAGTGCACCTTAGTAGAAGATAGCCCCTTATTAATTGTTGGGGCATCTTCTCTCTCTGACGTGTTGCATTTTTAAATGCAATAATCTGTTTATCAAGTGGTAACTTAGAAGGTAACCAAGGCTGTGTCTAGTTGGATTAGTGCTACACTGAAGTTTCTCTCTGTATGGAATATGGTCTGAGGAGCATGAGCCTACTGGCCACTCCTCCCTACCTATCTCCCCATCTTCTTAGTCTTTGGAGAGTAGAGCAATTCCTCTACTGGGAAAGGCTGTGTAAGATAATCACAGTCTTGAAATTGGTCTATATCTATATATGAAATCTAGGGTTACTAAATTTGAAACTATTAAAACACCATTTCTTAACTTCAAAGAATGTAACTTGGAAATTATCTAGATTTTGTGTATTATCTAGAATTTTTGTGTGTTAAGGCCCTCTGTTCATTTCATGGATAGAATTTCTTTTCAGTTACAGGTACTTATATAAGAAAAAAATAAACTTGAACAAGAGGATATAGTACACCGAGTCTCAGAGTTTTCGATGTTGAGAAGGTGAGGATGGGAAACTGACACTGTGAGGGCTTAAAACTCACAGGAGAGAGAGGACAGAGTGAATTTTTATTGTTGCTGTAAATCTTTGCTAAGTTATGTAAAATAATTAGTTTTTTCATTCAGCTTTTCTGTATTTATTGAAGTATTCAATAAATGTCTAACTATGTAAGTTTATGTCTTATACTCTTCAAGAGGCACAGAAAAGTTTGTAACCTATACATTGACCTCATGTCTGATTGCCAAGCTCCTGTTAATCTTTTAGATTGAGCTGGTATATCCCATCCTATGAAAAGTGACCCATTATTCCTGTAGGCAAAATTAAATTTTCTAAAGTAATGCTCCAATATAACTCATATCTCTCCAATACAACTTCTATTTTCACAAATATTTTGTTTTAATTTTTATTACATAATTTGACTTTATCTCCTCTCGTAACTACTTGATTCCAGGGCATTTTCAAGTATGGAGCCCTCTATATAGAACATTGTTGGACATTGAGGGACTTGATAATTTACACTTACATCATTTAATTTTTCCATATCACTAGTCATATATATTGTGTTTGCTTCCATTGTTAGCAATGGATAAAATATCTGAAATGTG